GCCTCCCAAGTAGCTGGGACTACAAGCATGAGCCACCATGCCCAGCTAAGTTTTGTATTTTTAGTAGAGATGGGGTTTCTCCATGTTGGTTAGGTTGGTCTTGAACTCCTGACTTCAGGTGATCTGCCTGCCTTGGCCTCCCAAAGTGCTGTGATTACAGACGTGAGCCACCACGCCTGGCTGTGATTTTTTTTTTTTTAAAACCTGTTTTCCCTATTAGGATATGAGCGGCTTTTAGAAGTGGAGACTTGGTCTGCTTTTTCACTGCATTTACTACCATGCCAGGATGCCAGATACAAGGACAGTTAGTAATAAATATTTAATTGAATGAGCATACGAATGGCAGCTACTGTGCAGGAAGGATTGGAGAGGGTGAGCCTGGAGTTCATAGGTGAGGGAACCCAGGCTGGAAATGAAGGAGGAGGTGGGGTGAGGGTGGGCAAACCTGGCCTGTCCTGTTCTTCAGGTATGGCTTCTCCCACTTCCATTCGTGAATCACTGCCTGGACAACTTTCTCATCTCCCTGCAAGGAGGGAAGTCCAGTCACCTTTCAGCATGCCTCTTCCCCCTGAGGCCAGGTGCTACCTCCTTGCTCCCCCAACCCCCGCCACAGGAACCCTCCACCCACCCCTGCGCCCCTTACCTTGAGCAGGTCCAGCAGCTTTAGTTCCAGTGCCTTAGTCTCCTCGCGGAGCTGACTGATGGTCTCCTGGTTCTTCTTGATGTTCCACTGAGAGCTCTCAAAAAAAGCCTTCCGGTCACCCTCTGGCAGGCAGGTGAAGTGGACAGACACACAGTTACTGGGAGGGTGGGTGGGTGGGTGCAATATCCCAGAGGGAAGACCTTTTTTGCAATCATCAACTTTTTTTTTTGAGACGGAGTTTTGCTCTTGTTGCCCAGGCTGGAGTGCAATGGTGCAATCTCGGCTCACCACAGCCTCTGCCTCCCGGGTTCAAGAGATTCTCCTGCCTCAGCCTCCCAAGTAGCTGGGATTACAGGCATGCATCACCACACCTCGCTAATTTTGTATTTTTAGTAGAGATGGGGTTTCACCATGTTGGTCAGGCTGGTCTTGAACTCCCGACCTCAGGTGATCTGCCCGCCTCAGCCTCCCAAAGTGCTGTGATCACAGGCGTGAGCCACCACGCCCGGCCTCATCAACTTAATATTGTAAGAATGCAATCGTCGATCAGCCTGAGCCTGGCCAACATGGTAAAACCCTGCCTCTACTAGAAATACAAAAATTAGCCAGGTGTGAGGCTGGGCACAATGGCTCTTTCCTGTAATCCCAGCACTTTGGGAGGTAGAGGTGGGCAGATCACCTGAGGTCATCTGCCTGAGTTCAAGACCAGTCTGGCCAACATGGTGAAACCCCGCCTCTACAAAAATTAGCTGGGCATGATGGCAGGTGACTGTAATCCCAGCTACGGGAGGCTGAGGCACGAGAATCACTTGACCTCCGGAGGTGGAGGCTGCAGTGAGCCGAGATCCTGCCACTGCACTCCAGCCTGGGCAACAGAGCAAGACTCCATCTCAAAACAAACAAACAAACAAACAAAAAAAAAACCCTGTCCCTGGGTATACTCAGATAATTGGTTCCAGGATCCGAGTATACCAAAATCCTTCCATACTCAAGTCCTACAGTCAGCCCTGTGGAAACTGCAGATACAAACGGTTGTCCCTCTGTATACTCAAGTTTTGCATCCCATGACTGTTGTATTTTCTTTTATTTTCTTTTGTGGGACTGGATCTTGCTCTGTCACCCAGGCTGAAGTGCAGTGGTGCTATCATTGCTCACTGAAGCCTCAACCTCCTGGGCTCAAGCAGTCCTCCTGCCTCAGCCTCCCAAGTAGCTAGGACTAGAAGCATGTGCTACCACATCCGGCTACTTTATTTTTTGTAGAGTCAAGGGTCTATGTTGCCCAGGCTGGTCTCGAACTCCTGGCCTCTAGCAATCCTTCTGCCTCAGCCTCCCAAAGTGCTAGGATTACAGGCATGAACCACCACACCCGGCCTGCCCATCTCAATTTTTTTAAACTTGAAAGGATGAATGATATACGTGAACACATGGTGTTCAAGGATCAACTGTACTTCACTTTGAGCATTTATTATGTTTTGGATGTTGGACTAAGAGGTTTCCAAATGCCATATATCATGTGCCAATAGGTATCCATATGCATAGGCATATCATACGCCTTGCACAGATGAGAAGACAGAGGCTTGGGCTGATTAAATTGCTCAAGGTCACAAGCAACCATGCAAGATTACCCTTTTTTTTTTTTGAGATGGAGTCTCGCTCTGTCGCCCAGGCTGGAGTGCAGTGGTGCGATCTCGGCTCACTACAGGCTCCGCCTCCCGGGTTCACACCATTCTCCTGCCTCAGCCTCCTCAGCAGCTGGGACTACAGGCGCACGCCGCCACGCCCCGCTAATTTTTGTATTTTTAGTAGAGATGGGGTTTCACTGTGTTAGCCAGGATGGTCTCGATCTCCTGACCTCGTGATCCGCCCGCCTTGGCCTCCCAAAGTGCTGGGATTACAGGCGTGAACCACCTCGCCCAGCCATGATTACCTCTTAATAATATCAACAAAAACAATAATAATGGCTTATACACAAGGATTCTGAAACCTCAGGATGACCAACTGGGCCGAATAATTATTTGCTGTGGGGAGCTCTCCTGTGTTTTGTAGCATGTTGGGCAGCACCTTCACCTCTGCCCGCTAGATGCCAGTGGAAGACACACACCCACAACAGACCCGCCCGCCACCACGCCCGGCTAATTTTTCGTATTTTTAGTAGAGACGGAGTTTCACCGTGTTGGCCATGCTGGTCTCAATGTCTTAGGACATTGCCAAATGGCCACTGTGGGGCAAACTAACCCTTTTCTAACAAGAACCATTGGTTTACACCTTATGGTACTTTGCTATGTGCCAGGCACTGTTCTAAGTACTTTACACATTTCAGGTACCTATGTTGTACCGTTACTAACCCCATTTCACACATGGAGAAACTGAGAACAATTAGGTTACTCTTAGTCCCCCAAGGCTGACAACTATTATGCAGAGTCAGGATTCCAACCCAGAAAATCTGGCTCTAAAATCTATGCTCAGGCCAGGTGCAGTGGCCCATGCCTATAACCCCAGCACTTTGGGAAGCTGAGGAGGAAGAACTGCTCAAACCCAGGAGTTCGAGACCAGCCTGGGCAGCATAGTGAGACCCCATCTCTACAAAAAGTAAGAAAATTAGCCAAGCACAGTGACATATGCCTGTAGTCCCAGCTACTCAGGAGGCTGAGGTGGAGGGATCACTTGAGCCCAGCTATTATCGAACCACCGCACTCCAGCCTGAACAGCATAGCAAGAACCTGTCAGAAAGAAAGAAGGCTGGGCGTAGTGGCTCACACATGTAATCCCAGCACTTTGGGAGGCCAAGGCTGGTGGATCACTTGAGATCAGGAGTTGGAGACCAGCCTGGCCAACATGATGAAATCCTGTCTCCACTAAAAATATAAAAATTAGGTGTGGTGGCATGCACCTGTAGTCCCAGCTAGTCAGGAGGCTGAGGCAGGAGAATTACTTGAACCTGGGAGGCAGAGATTGCAGTGAGCCGAGATCATGCCACTGCTCTCCAGCCTAGTCGAAAAAAAAAAAAAAAAAAAAAAAAAAAGGCCGGGTGCAGTGGCTCACACCTGTAATCCCAGCCAGCACCTTGGGAAGCTGAGGTGGGCGGATCACGAGGTCAAGAGATTGAGACCACCCTGGCCAATATGGTGAAACCCCTCTGTACTAAGAACACAAAAATTAGCTGGGCGTGGTGGCACGTGCTTGTAGTCCCAGTTACTCCGGAGGCTGAGGCAGGAGAATTGCTTGAACCTGGGAGGCGGAGGTTGCAGTGAGACCAGATCGTTCCACTGCACTCCTGCCTGGCAACAGAGTGAGATTTCTGCCAAAAAAAGAGAGAGAGAGAGAGAAAATAAATTACAGGAAAGTATGAAGTACAGTTCATTCGGTTCTGAACTCATGAGAAGTTTTAAGAGAGAGAGGATGAAAAACATGAATCAAGTATGAGTTTTTGCCCAGAAACTGTTCACCTAGACTCATGCTGGAGAAATACCTTTGTCACACCATGCCTGGTCAGAAGATTGGATGGGCACTGTTGACCCCTGACCCTCTGTACCCTCTGGAGCCATCTTACCTAACAGTTGTATCTTTTTATGTAACTCAGCCACCTGAGCGTGCACAGAGGGCTTCCCGGCATCTCTGTGGAAGGATCCTCCCTTGGAACGGCCGGGGGGCCAGGCCTGGGCTGCTCCCTTGCCTCGGAGGTGGCTGGGTTTGCCCGAAGCCTCCCTGCCCTTGACCTTGGAAGAGGGCGTCGAAACCTGGTCCTGAGGAGGCAGGGCGTTGGCGGAGGCCGCCCTGCACAGGGGAGATGTCATGATGGGGTTGGGGCCGAAGGCCCCTAGGGATTAGGGGGACAACTAGGAGTCAGTCGCTCCTGTCAGGGATCCGTCAGCTCGGATTCCTAGGGCTCTGAAAAATGCACTTTCCGACCGCTAGGTGGTTGCTCTCCGCATCTCTCGGTTGCTAGGTAACCGCCTCCCGTCTCCCTCCAGTGTTTCCATGGAGACCACCCGCGTTCCGTGGCTGACAGTGCGTTCTCATTGGCTGAGGCTGCATAGAGGGGCGGTCCCAACAGAGGGGCGGGACAGAGCCGCGCTACAGGACAGACGATCTGGGCACTTTGGGGTCACGTGCTCATTCCGTTTCCTTACCCTCGCCCCCCGCAACCTTATCCCGCCCCTGGGGGTTCGTGGGCATTTTTCAGGAACTTTCTTTCCGGCTTGAGAAGCCGCCACTCCCAAGATGGAGGTACGTTGCGCCGCCATTAAGAGCTAGCCCTCAGAACCATCCTCTCTAAGGCTTCACAGTCCTGCCCAAGATGGCCGTCTCGGCTTTGGCACCGCCCCTACTCCTGACTCTCCCAACATGGCTACCCTGACTCCCCGTTCGCGGTGCGGGACGTACGACCGGAAGTGACGGGTCCAGGCAGTTCCGCTTTCTTTCTGCAGCAGGAACCGTGGCTGCCGGACAAGAGGGGCGCGGTGGATACTGACCTTTGCTCCGGCCCCGTGTAGGTGTGAACGAGCGGGTGGGAGGGCACCTCAGTTTCCTGCAGGGGGCAACCGGAGGGTGTATGTGTGGGTGTGGACCGCGGAAACTGTTAATCCCTTTGGCCTGTTGGCGGGAATTGGGTCACAATTGGGCACAGGGAGCGGAGGTTTTGAGATCTTGAGATCCTCGCCATTGATTTGAGCAAAGTGAGACTGGCCAGGATTGGGGAGATCGCTGCCCCCGCCCCCATATCGGAAACAAAGTGAGGCCTCATTGCCTGGAAGCGATGGAGGAATCCAATTGGCTGGAAGTAGCCCTCTCCCACTGACCGGGATCCCCTTTCTTCCTGCAGCGTGAAGACACAGCGCGTCTTCCCGCTGTCGGCTTCCTCCCACAGAACCCGTTTCGGGCCTCAGAGCCTCTGGCGAGATGCTGCTGCCGCTCCTTCTGCTACTACCCATGTGCTGGGCCGTGGAGGTCAAGAGGCCCCGGGGCGTCTCCCTCACCAGTGAGTCCTCCTGTTCACCCTCCCGCCAGGCTGGAGGTGGGAGGGGCCAACACTGGGCCTTGGGGATAGGCATTTACAACCTTTTGCCTCAGTTTCCCGGTAGTGCTCCGCTGGGGGGGGTGGGAGGACAGAGGTGGTATTTGATGGAGAAGGCGCTTTCCTGCCCTGGGCTGAGCTTCCTGCACCCCACAGATCATCACTTCTATGATGAGTCCAAGCCTTTCACCTGCCTGGACGGTTCGGCCACCATCCCATTCGATCAGGTCAACGATGACTATTGCGACTGCAAAGATGGCTCTGACGAGCCAGGTGAGCCTTTTCTCTGTTCATCCATCACATATTTATTGAACGCTGCTCAGTGCCAGGCCCTGTCTGTGTGACCAAGATACTCCCTATGCTGACTCCCCCGTGAGTGGGCAGAAACAAGCCCAGCAGTCAGTGGTCAGTGGTCAGTGGTCAGTCTTATGGCCCCGGGCAGCTGGAGGAGCCCAGAGTCCTCCTACTCCCAAGCCTAGGGGTCAGAAAAGGCTCCTCCAAGGAGGTGAGGTTTCAGTTAAATCCCGAGGGTGCTGCAGATGCAGGGGCCAACATGGGCAAACCCCTGGAAGTGGGAGACAGGGTGGGGCCAAGAGCAATCCAGCAGGAGACAGAGGTGAAGGGAAACCCTGGCTTTTTGTTCTTCTGTTTTTTGAAGAGACAGGGTCCTGCTGTGTTGCCGAGGCTGGAGTACAGTGGCATGATTGTAGCTCACTGCAGCCTGGAACTCTTGGGCTCAAGTCCTCCTCCTGCCTTGGCCTTCCAAAGTGCTGGGGTTACAGGTGCAAGCCACCGTGCCTGGATGAGGCCATGTTGTTTTGAATTTTCTTTGAGACGGAGTTTCACTCTTATCGCCCAGGCTGGAGTGCAGTGGCACGATCTCGGCTCACTGCAACCTCCGCCTCCCGAGTTCAAGCGATTCTCCTGCCTCAGCCTCCTGAGTAGCTGGGATTACAGGCGCCCGCCACCATGCCCAGCTAATTTTTCGTATTTTTAGTAGAGACGGGGTTTCACCATGTTGGCCAGGCTGGTCTCAAACTCATCACCTCAGGTGATCCACCCGTCTCGGCCTCCCAGAGTGCTGAGATTACAGGCGTGAGCCACAGCGCCAGGCAGAGGACCCTATTTTGAAGGACCTCAGTGAGAAGAGGCAGGAGGCAGCGCTGGGAAGCTTTGTTTCAAGCCCGGGGTGTGCCGGGTACAACTCTTCCCTTCCTTTGGTCCTTATGTTTCTTGTGCTCTCTGTGTGCAGGGTGGGTCGGGGGCTCTTGTCTGTGGATGGATGGGACACGTCTGACCCTCACCTGACTGAAAACCTTCCCTCCCTCCCTTCCTCACAGGCACGGCTGCCTGTCCTAACGGCAGCTTCCACTGCACCAACACTGGCTATAAGCCCCTGTATATCCCCTCCAACCGGGTCAACGATGGTGTTTGTGGTAAGTGACGATGCACCAGGATTCTGGAAAGGTGGTAGAGGGAGGGAGGGTGGAGGCACTGCCAGGTCTGATCTCGGCTTCTGCCTCTGCCGCAGACTGCTGCGATGGAACAGACGAGTACAACAGCGGCATCGTCTGTGAGAACACCTGCAAGTATGTGGGTGACAGTACCCCTTCCATCACCCCACTCCACGACTTTGCCTGGCTCCACTCAGTGAATCAGGCCCGCTCTCTCTCTGCTTTTCTCTATCAGATGCTCTGTCTGTGCCAGGTGCCTTGTAAATCCTAATCCCCACCTTTCCCTCTAGTCTGGAAGCAGGTAGGATTGTTTCCCAATTCAACAGATGGGGGAACTCCAGTTTAGAAAGGGAAATGCGGTGGCTCAAGCCTGTAATCCCAGCACTTTGGGAGGCCGAGACGGGCGGATCACGAGGTCAGGAGATCGAGACCATCCTGGCTAACATGGTGAAACCCCGTCTCTACTAAAAATAAAAAAAAAAAAAAAACTAGCCGGGCGAGGTGGCGGGCACCTGTAGTCCCAGCTACTAGGGAGGCTGAGGCAGGAGAATGGCGTAAACCCGGGAGGCGGAGCTTGCAGTGAGCCGACATCCGGCCACTGCACTCCAGCCTGGGTGACAGAGCAAGACTCCGTCTCAAAAAAAAAAAAAAGAAAAAAAGTAAAGGAAATGACTTCCCCAGGGTCACATAGGAGAGAGCAGAGCTGGCTCTTGGACTCTAAACTTTCCATTGTCACAATCTGCAGCAGGCCCTGAAAACCTACACACCCACAGGCAGATAAAGTATACAACAGAAGGAGGCCAGGCGCCGTGGCTCACGCCTGTAATCCTAGCACTTTGGGAGGCTGAGGCGGGCAGTTCATGAGGTCAGGAGATCCAAACCACGGTGAAACCCCGTCTCTACTAAAAATACAAAAAAATTAGCCGGGTGTGGTGGCAGGTGCCTGGTCAGCTCTCGGGGGTGCCGGGCAAGGGAGAGATGGCATGAACCGGGAGGCGGAGCTTGCAGTGAGCGGACGATCGCACCCACTAGCACTCAGCTGGGCGGCAGAAGCGGAGACTCACTGTCCCTCAACCACACAAAAAGGGTATACCGAAGGAGAACTGGAGTATGAGCATAAGAGGGATGGGGATTTGTGGCAATCTAGAGGAAAGCCTGGTTCCTCATTTCCCTGGGCCAGCTGAGTCCTTTTTAATAGTTCCAATCGACCGATGCTTTATCATTTTTATTTATTATTGTATTTTTTGGGGACGGGGGTTCCTACTCTTCGCCAGCCCGGGAGTGAATGGGGCGTGATCTCAGCTCCTGCAAACTCTGCCTCTGGGTTCAAGCAAATGCTCACGCTCACTCCAAGTAGCTGGAACAGGGTGTGCCCACGTGCGGCCGCGGCTACTTGTATTTTTAGTAGAGATGGGGTTTACACATGTCTGGCCAGGCTGGCTCCCGAAACGCGCGTGAACCTGCAGGTGATCCTGCCACCTCAGCCCTCCCGCTGAGTGTAAGCAACCGTGCTGGCCACGATGATTCGAGTTTTTTTATGCACGTGTGGAAGAGGATTAGTGCTCCCTTAAACCTTGTTTCGATGACCTTACGGGCCGTTAGCTGTCTGGACTTGAAAATAAAATAAGGCGGCTCGTGGTGGCTCAATGCCTATAAATCCATGTGGTTTGGGGAGGCCCGAGAAGGAAGATTGCCTTAGAGGCCCAGGAGTTTGAGAGCCAGCCTGGGCAAAGAGCGAGACCACTGATCTCCTGGTAGACTAAAAAAAAACAATTATTAAAAAGGTAAAAATAAAAATCCTGGAACTATTAAATTTAAATGTCTCGTGGGCATGCCACTGGCTACCCTGTATCCCAGCATATTGGGAGGCTCTGAGCGAGACCGATCACCTGAAGCCAGGATCCTTGAGACCAGCTGAGGCACACGTGGAGACCATCTCGTGGAACAAACAATTTTCTTTTGAGGACAAGTCATAACTCTGTTGCCATAGGCTACGGAATGGAGTGCGTGGTCGCCGGTGCCATCTCGGCTCACTGCAGCCTCTGCCCTCCCAGGGTTCAGCGATTCTCTGCCTCAGCCCTCGCTGAGTAGCCTGGGAACCTTGATCAGGCACCATCCACACCTGGCTAAGTCTTTGGATATTTTTAGTGAGAGGACGTGTTGTCATCATACTTGGCCAGCGCTGGTCCTGGATCCTGACCTCAGTGATCCCGCCCCACCGCTTGGGCCTCCCCAAGCTGCTGGGGATGTACAGGCTTGAAGCCCCAGTGGCCGCCCTCACACATCTGTTTAAGTAGACAAGGTGGATTTGAACACAACAACAGACTTTGCTTTTTGTTTTTTTGAGACCACGGAGTCTACGCTCTGTGCCCAGGCTTGGATGGTTGTGCGGTGATCTCCGCTCCTGCAGCTTCTGCCCTCCCCGGATTCATGCCCATTCTCCCTGCTTCCGGCCTCCTGAGTCGCCTGGACCGCCACAGGTGTGCCCCCACCTATGCCTGGTCATTTTTGTGTGTGGGAATGTTTAGTGGAGGACGGGGTTCAACCTGTTGTTAGCGGATATACCTCGGATCTCCCTGGACCTATTCCGTGATCCGCACTGGCCCATCCGGCCCTCCACCAAAGTGCCGGGGATACAGGCGTGGAGCCCCCGCACCAGACCCACACAACACTTACTAACCAGACTTGTCTTTTTTGTCTGGGAGTCGTGATTTCTGTTGCTTTCTGTTCTGGGTTTTTTTGTTTGTGGGTTAAATATGTATGTCAATAGGGCTTTATATGTTGTCCGGGGAGCTCGGGTTTTGCGAATCCTGGGCCAGTGATTCTCCATGCCTTGGCCTCCTCAAAGTGCTGGGATTAACAGCATAGACGAGCACCCACCGACCCAGCGGGTCTCTGTCTCTGGAGAGTTGATATCCCCACCTCCCGGCACTCCCTAGTCCCTTCCCTGACCCCAGGGGCCTACAGAACCCACTGTCCCTCTTTCAGGGACAGGAATGAAGGATGCTGATGTTGAGAGAACCTGGGAGACTGGGAGGAGGGTGTGCTCTCATCTTTCCCAGCATGTCTTGGTGGGGGCCACAGCTGGATTGAGCTATTTGGGAAGAGGCAGACCTGGTGGTGCCTGTGTGTCCCCCCACCGCAGAGAGAAGGGCCGTAAGGAGAGGGAGTCCCTTCAGCAGATGGCCGAGGTCACCCGCGAGGGGTTCCGCCTGAAGAAGATCCTTATTGAGGACTGGAAGAAGGCGCGGGAGGAGAAGCAGGTAAGAAGCCCGTGGGGGCTGCCGCAGGGTGATCTGGGCCTCGAGGCCTCCTAGCATGGGCCTGCAAGGCTGGGGAGGGGTTTGCCCCGACTGCTGTTCTGGGGCAAGTGACTGCCATTCTGAGCTTTGCTTTCTCAGTTGTGTGCTAGGCGTTTAGTTATTGGCTAAGTATAATAGTTCCTAAATGCAAGGCTGTCGGCTTTATCAGGGCCTTGGACATCAGACTAAAGCAGGCTAGAAGGGCCTGGCTGCCTCCTGGGGACGGGAGGGTTGCTCCTCTGTATCCCCGATCTGTGGCGCCATTTCCTGTAAGATGGGCTGATGTTAACAAGATAACGTCAGCCAGTAGCAGCCAGATTAATTCCATAGGGTGGGTTCTTTGGGGTCCCTAGGCATGTGTCTCTCCCTGCTTTGCCTGTGTACTGGACAGGAGGCTGGAAACCGACCTGGATCTGCCTCAAGGGATTCATTGCTAGCGGGAGGGACAGACAGCCAGGGCTGCTGGACAAAGGGAAATGTGGGGTAGAGACTTCTTGCCCAGTTCCTCTTCCTCTCTGTCATGGGGGCAGGAGGCAAGGAAGGCTTCTTGGAGGAGGAGGCCTCTATCTCAGATGAAATCTGTTGGGTAATTTGGAGTTAGCCAGGTAGAGTGTTCCAGGCTGAAGGAACAGCATGTTTGAAGAACCGGAGGCAGAAGAGCGTTTGGGGGGGTCTGCCTGTTGTCAGGGCAACTGGGTTCTAGTAAGATAGGGACGGGGCAAATGGGGCTGGAGAATCAGCCAGGGGCCCGATTACCTGGGGCTTTGCGGGCTACATTGAGGCGTTTGGGCTTCTCTCCAGAGGGCTGCAGGGAAGCCCAGCTTGGGAGAGAGACCCATCTCGATGTGTATTTTGCGACATCCCCCTGCTGCCCTATGGAGTAGAGGCAGGGAGGTAGTAGTCAATGAGGAGGAGGCAGAACCGAAGAGAGCCGGTCTCTTGCCTTCTGCCCACCCAGAAAAAGCTCATTGAGCTCCAGGCTGGGAAGAAGTCTCTGGAGGACCAGGTGGAGACGTTGCGGACAGTGAAGGAAGAAGCCGAGAAGCCAGAGAAAGAGGCCAAAGAGCAGCACCAGAGGCTGTGGGAAGGTATGGCATCAAGTGGCCGGAGGACTCACCTTCAGTTCCTGGGTGGGAGGCGTCTGGGCCTGGGAGCCTCTCGCTCATTATCTGCTGTCAGTTTCAGCAGATTTTTGATCCTGGTGCCCGTTGTCTTGTGTGCCTTGAGGTTCGCTTGGATTGTGGCATATGTCAGGAGCCTCCTTTTAAAAAATTGTTTAAATAATTTTGGTTTTTTTTGAGACGGTGTCTCCCTCTGCCACCCAGGCTGGAATACAGTGGCGTGATCTCAGCTCACTGCAACCTCTGCCTCCCAGGTTCAAGCAATTCTTGTGCCTCAGCCTCCTGAGTAGCTGGAATTACAGGCACCTGCCACCACATTTAGCTAATTGTTTTGTATTTTTAGTAGAGACGGGGCTTCACAATGTTGGCCAGGCTGGTCCCGAATTCCTTACCTCAAGTGATCTACCTGTCTCGGCCTCCCAAAGTGTTGGGATTACAGGCGTGAGCCACCACGCCTGGCCACCTACATCCTTTTAACATCAACGTAGATTTTGTTATTTGACTTTAGCAAGACTTAATCCAGTGACCATTTTTCCTATCAAGTGTTTGGTATTTGTCTTCACTAATTGTAAGAGCTTTTTCTTGGCCAGGCGCCGTGGCTCACGCTTGTAATCCCAGCACTTTGGGAGGCCGAGGCGTGCGGATCACGAGATCAGGAGATTGAGACCATCCTGGCTAACACAGTGAAACCCTGTCTCTACTAAAAGAAATACAAAAAAATTAGCCAGGCGTGGTGGCGGGCACCTGTAGTCCCAGTTACTCGGGAGGCTGAGGCAGGAGAATGGCGTGAACCTGGGAGGCAGAGCTTGCAGTGAGCCTAGATCGTGCCACTGCACTCCAGCCTGGGCAACAGAGCGAGACTCCGTCTCAAGAAAAAAAAGAAAAAAAATACAGCCAGGTGCAGGGGCTCATGCCTATAATCCCAGCACTTTGGGAGGCTGAGGCAGGCGGATCACGAGGTCAGGAGATTGAGACCATCCTGACCAACATGGTGGAACCCATCTCTACTAAAAATACAAAAATTAGCTGGACATGGTGGTGCGTGCCTGTAATCCCAGCTACTTGGGAGGCTGAGGCCGGAGAATCCCTTGAACCAGGAAGTTGGAGGTTTCAGTGAGCCGAGATTACGCCCCTGTTTTCCAGCCTGGCAACAGAGTGAGACTCAGTCTCAAAACAAACAAACAAACCAAAAATTAGCTGGGCGTGGTGGTGTGTGCCTGTGGTCCCAGCTACTCGGGAAGCTGAGGCAGGAGAAGCGCTGGAACCCGGGAGACAGAGGTTGCAGTGAGCTGAGATCTCGCCCCTGCACTCCAGCCTGGGTGACAGAGCAAGACTTCATCTAAAATAATAATAATAATAAAAGAGCTTTATCTATCTGGGGTTTGCCCTTTTGTCTACAACTGAAAATTTTTTTTAATTTATTTATTTTTGAGATGGAGTCTCGCTCTGTTGCCTAGGCTGGAGTGCCAATGGCATGATCTGTGCTCACTGCAACCTCCACCTCCTGGATTCAAGTGATTCTCCTGCCTAGGCTTCCTGAGTAGCTGGGATTACAGGCACCTGCCACCACAGTATTTTTAGTAGAGATGGGGTTTCACTATGTTGGCCAGGCTGGTCTCGAACTCCTGACCTCAGGTGGCCTGCTTTAACCTCCCAAAGTGTTGGGATTACAGGCATGAGCCACGACGCCTAGCTCTGTCTGCAACTGAAGATAGGATTTCCCTTCTTTATTTGTTTTTGGTGCTAGGGCCTGGTGTTTTTTTGGCAAGGCCGCATTGCACGTAGAGCGGGAGTTCACTGGCTCTGTCTGCCCCTGAACCTTTGCCGTGCTGCGAGCTTCCTTTCACGTGGGTGTGGGCAAGCTCAGGCCTGATTTTCCTCAGGACGTGTTCTCAGCGTGCAGCTGTGGAATCATAGGGAAGCGCCATGTTTTGACCCAGATTCCCAAAGGGTGGCGGGGCTGAGCCAGGGCTCCGAGGGCAGATGGCCTGGTTTGGGCCCCAGGCTACACCTCTCCCTGGCTGGGTGATGATGGGCAGGTCCCTTCACCCATGGAAAGGTCAGGGACCCCTCAGGCCCTCATCTGTGAGACTCAGAACAGTGTCAGCTGGGTCTGCTGGGACATGTGGCATCTCCTGGGGTGACCGAGGACTCTCTAGAGGAAATACCCACTGTTTTTATTCTGTTCATAGAGAACTAAGCTGGAGCTTGGTATACAGTGGGAAGTGAATCCTGGTATACAGTAGGCAGTTAATCATCGGAGCCACTGTTGTGGCTGTTTCCCCCTCTGCTTAGGTTAGAAGAGTAACGACAGATAAAGGAGGGACTTTTGGGACAGAGGCTCGGTCCCCTTCTGTCCGGCTGGCCACTTCCTGGGACTGGCCCTGGGGATCCCCAAGATGCCCCCAGGACCAGTCTCCCTCCCTGTATCCTCCCTGTATCCTCCCCATCTCCCAGCGTCCTTGGCCATGAAGTCTCATTCCTGCCAGCCCTGCCTCTGACATGCCTCTGCCAGGTCCTAAACCTAAAGTCTCAGAGGCCGCTCTCCTCTCCCCAACCCCATCTCCCGCCTCTGACCGTCTGCGCACCGTATCTGCGTCTCCCCAGAATCGTCCTCTGCTCCGTGCTGCTTCCTCGGCCCGCAGCCTGGGCCATCCCTTGTTGTCACCTGGCTTCCGCCCTCGCCCCCACCTCTGTCCCAACAGTGGCCTGACAGGGCCGCCCTCTGCCACCTGGCTTCCCACCTCCTTGCTCCAGCCCCACGGGTGGCCCTCCCGCCCCTGCACTCCCCACCCTGCCCCAGTCTCCCCCAACACAACCAGGCTTCAGCCAGTCACCTTGCTCCTCGTCTGTCCTCCCCCGGTAAGGGCAGGGACCTTTGTCTCCTCCACAGTCGTGTCCCCAGGGTCCAGCATGGGGCCAGGCACATAGTAGGCGCTTAGTGGCAAATGGCCCTATGGGGTGTGGGGTCGGTGGGAGCCAGTGGGTGGGCAGGGGGTGACAGAGGTGGCCTCTTTACAGAGCAGCTGGCTGCCGCCAAGGTCCAACGGGAGCAGGAGCTGGCGGCTGATGCCTTCCAGGAGCTGGATGACGACATGGACGGGACGTGAGTGTCCCCAAGTTGGAGCTGCGCCCCCTTCCGTGGGCCTGGGTTTCCCTTCCCGCCACCCTCGCCTCTAGAAACCAGCCAGAGTTCCCCCTGGGTTCCCCTGGCATGGGGTCCAGGCTGATCCCAAGCCCCGTGTGACCCTGCCTCTTACTCATGGATGGCTGGGTCCAGGATGCCCTGGGCGAGGAGATAGGGGGACCACCTTCTCCCCAGGAGCTGGGCACAGACCCTCAGCCCCAGGAAGTGTGGCTAGGCGTCCAGTGATGGGAGCTGGGCACAGACCCTCAGCCCCAGGAAGTGTGGCTAGGTGTCCAGTGATGGGAGCTGGGCACAGACCCTCAGCCCCAGGAAGTGTTTTTTGAGGATTGCTTTTCCCAGCCCCACTCTATGCTCTGGGTAGAATCCTGGCTGTGCCTCTGAACTTGCTGGGTTACCTGGTGGAGGGTGGACTTTTGGGGGCTGAGGGACACACGAGGAGCCTAGGAGATGTGGGGTGCCAAGGAGCAGGGGGCTTCAGAGGGACCAAATGGGCAGAATGGGCAAGGGTGGAGGTGGGCTCTGCTGGGTGGAGGACCAAGGTAGATGGCTTCAATGTGCCGGGTTCTGAGGGTGGAAGGAAGTGCCACCTGGGTGAGTTGGGAGAGAGGTCATCAGGGATTTGGGGGTCCAGGTATCTCCCAGTCCCACCCCTTACTTTGAGCCCCTTTGGGGTCATGGAGTCCTGGGGAAGGGGCAGGAAGGCAGGGAGGCCCCTGCACCTTGAGTTCCTGAAGCAAGTTCGGGGTAGGCCCTGGCAGGGAAGAGCAGGTGGGCCACGTGGTGCCCCCAGCTGAGAGCCATTGGGGCGTCACCCCTCCAGTCTGTTTCTGCCACGCCCCCACAGGGTCTCAGTGACCGAGCTGCAGACTCATCCAGAGCTGGACACAGATGGGGACGGGGTGTTGTCGGAAGCGGAAGCTCAGGTACCTCGGCTGCCCCTTGGCTGGGGACTTCTGGAAGCATTGCCCCAGGGTGACCTCAGGGCACAGGAGGGGAACCAAGGAAAGCTCCCTGCTGGCCTGGGACGCCTCCTCTGGGTGAGCTGGGATGGATGGCAGCCACTCAGGGCTGCTTCCCACCTGGCAGGACCCGGGATGGAGCCAGGTCGGGCTGGAGCCCGTTTCCCCCGCCTGCCCGCACTCTCCCTGCTGTTTGAGCACCCAGTCCCCTTTCTCCCCTATCCCTGTCCTGCCCTATTTCCCTCCCCCCGATTCCCCTCCCCCCGATTCCCCTCCCCCCGATTCCCCTCCTCCCCACCCCCATCTCCCGCAGTCCGTCGTCTCCTATCCTATCCCCTCCTTCCCTGTGGCCCCTGGCTTTTCACCTCCCTTCTCTGCCCTCCCCTGAGTGTCTGCCTGTCCCTCTGCAGCCTTGGCCTTGGCCTCTCCCTTGGAGGGCCTGGCCCTCTCTGATCCTGGGCTCTCTCTTCCTCCGTCTGTCCGTGTTGTCCGTCCATCCGTCTGTGTCGTCCGTCCATCCGTCTGTGTTGTCCGTCCATCCGTCCATCCGTCTGTGTTGTCCATGTTGTCCGTCCATCCGTCTGTCTGCCTCTCTCTTTCTGTCTCAGTGCTCCCAACCACTCCAGCCCGCGGCCCCCTCCTCCCCTCCCACGGGCCTGTGCTGCCCCCTCCTGGCCGCAGTGCCTCAGTGGCGTGGCCCCGGCCTGGTCATAAGGGCCCAGGGCCCAGCCCTCCCGTGCCTGGCACCGCAGCGCGGGTGCCTGGGGTGGCCGGGAAAGGGGACACGTGGCGGCCTAGATCTTGACACCACCCCCAACACACACAGGCCCTCCTCAGTGGGGACACACAGACAGACGCCACGTCTTTCTTCGACCGCGTCTGGGCCGCCATCAGGGACAAGTACCGGTCCGAGGTCAGTGGAGGGAAAGGGAGGGGACTTGGTCCTCCTCCGACACTGGCCCCACCCCGCCTCACAAAGGAGCTGCCTCCGGTTCTGGCACCTGGCCACCCTGGCCAGCTGGGCGGCCCCGGCACCCCCACCGAGGCCCCCCCACCCCAGCTGTCGGTCCTCCCTGCAGGCCCCGCAGGAGGGGCAGAGACGCCGAGGCTGTCCCTTGGGCTGTGGTGTGAGCCTGAGGGTGTGGGTGGACCCTGAGTCCACAGCACCGACCACGCTGCTCACCCGCCAGGCACTGCCCACTGACCTTCCAGCACCTTCTGCCCCTGACTTGACGGAGCCCAAGGAGGAGCAGCCACCAGTGCCCTCGCCACCCACAGAAGAGGAGGAGGAGGAGGAGGAAGAAGAGGAGGCTGAAGAAGAAGAGGAGGAGGAGGAGGATTCCGAGGTGCAGGGGGAGCAGCCCAAGGTCCGTGTTTGGGGGAGAAGGGAAGACAGAGAGGGTGAGGGAAGGGCTGCTCACTGACCCTGCCCCTTCCCCAGGAGGCCCTGCTGCCACTGGCACCCCCGCAGCCGGCCAGCCCTGCCGAGGAAGACAAGATGCCGCCGTACGACGAGCAGACGCAGGCCTTCATCGATGGTGAGGGCGGGCGGGGGCCGGGCTCCTCGGGTGAGCCCAGCGTTTCCTGCCGTGGTGGCGTAGATCAGGGGAAGATCCTGAGCTCAGCCCCTGCTCTGACTCGGCCAGCACACGCCCCAGTATCTTGGGGAGTTCAGGAAGGGAGCCTGGGGTAAGCCAGTCCCACCCTCGCCAACCCCAAGGGGCCCTTCTGCCTCCCCGAGGGCCGCAGCTTGTTTGTGTCGCTCCTGGCGGGCCCCAGGAGCCCTGGCCCCAGTCCCTCCGGAGCCGCGAGCCTGGGCAGCAAGTCGGGGCTGTTCATAGCTGGTGAGGCCCTCAGGTCTGTCTGGGCAAAGCCCTTGGCCAAAGCAAAATCAGCTTAGAGGAGGACACAGTTGCATCCGTGGAACCCCGTTCCCCATCCTCCTGAGTGGGGGTGAGGACGTCTCTGACCTCCAGCCCCTCCCCCAGCTGCCCAGGAGGCCCGCAACAAGTTCGAGGAGGCCGAGCGGTCGCTGAAGGACATGGAGGAGTCCATCAGGTAGCGGGGGCTGAGGAGGCGGGACACCCGTCCCACAGTGCCTGCTCCCCGGCTCCCAGGGGAGCCAGTCATGGGGAATCACTGAGGCAACCGCAGGCTGGGCCTGGCCCCTGCAGAGAGGGTTCTCCGGAGGTGGCAGGGAGGACAGCCTGGGCACCACAGCTCACCCAGGCCCTCCTGTGTCTGTCATCCTGGGGCAGGCGCTGGCGTCCCCAGCTGCCCTTTAACCGCTCCGCCTCCACTTCCAGGAACCTGGAGCAAGAGATTTCTTTTGACTTTGGCCCCAATGGGGAGTTTGCCTACCTGTACAGCCAGTGCTACGAGCTCACCACCAACGAGTGCGTCCCAGGGGTGCAGGGGCCCCCACCGGCAGGGTGGGAGGCGGGTGGCCCCGGAAGCGGCACTGGCAGTTTCCTGATGGTTGGGGAACCACCTGCAGGGTGGGGCCTGAGCGCTGCCCTCCATATTGAGGGGGAGCAGAAGCAGGCTTAGGGTGGGTGATTGGAGTTGGAGGTGCCCTGTGTACGGGGACAGGAGGAGGTAGGGAGGGGCTGTGGGAGGAGGCTGGGATCCCCGCGTCCCCCCCATCCATATTCCCTGGTCCTCCCCAGGTACGTCTACCGCCTCTGCCCCTTCAAGCTTGTCTCGCAGAAACCCAAACTTGGGGGCTCTCCCACCAGCCTCGGGTGAGTGTCATGGGCTGGCCCCTTCCCTCTGCCTCCTCCTGGTGCCCGACACCGGCCCAGCCCTCAGCACCCTGTGTCTCTTGCAGCACCTGGGGCTCCTGGGCTGGCCCTGAGCACGACAGGTTCAGTGCCATGAAGTATGAGCAAGGCACGGGCTGCTGGCAGGGCCCCAACCGCTCCACCACCGTGAGTGCCTGCAGGGCGGGGAGCCGGGGCGGGGAGACCCAGGCCTGGCCCAGCCGAACCCTCCTGAGCGCCTGTCTGCCCATCCCCAGGTGCGCCTCCTATGCGGGAAAGAGACCATGGTGACCAGCACCACGGAGCCCAGTCGCTGTGAGTACCTCATGGAGCTGATGACGCCGGCCGCCTGCCTGGAGCCACCGCCTGAAGCACCCACCGAAGACGACCATGACGAGCTCTAGCTGGATGGGCGCAGAGGTGGGCGGGGAGGTGGAGTCTCGGCCTGCCCCAGCAAGGGGAGGCGGCGGGCCCTGAGGAAGTTGGACCCACATGGCCACTCTATCAACCTGTGTGCCCATGTCCCGTGCTTTTTTTTTTTTTTTTTTTTTTTTTTTGAGGTGGAGTTCACTTCTTTTGCCTGGCATGGAGTGCGTGACGCATCTCGCTCGTGCAACGCCCTCCAGACCTCCTGGGGGTTTCAAAAAATTTCCTTGTCTCAGCTTCTAAGTAGTTGGGGACAGGGAAATGCACACCGATCGCGCTGGTAATGTTTTGAGTATTTGTAGACAGCTTCTGTGTTTCATATTTTGTTTAGTGTTGTGTCTCGAACCTCCTGACCCAGATGGGATCATTGCCTCAGCCCTCCAAAAATGCTGGGGTTATAGGTATGAACCCACCGTGGTCCGGGCGCATCCGCCTGTTTTTTTTTTTTTTTTTGGACGGTAAGGCTAGTCTTGCTCTGATCGTCCGAGGCTTGGGGGTGCTCTGTGGCCGGATGCTCAGCTCCTGCAAGCTCCGCTCCTGGAGTTCCACCTCGTCTCTTGCCTCAGCCTCCCGAGTAGCTGGCTACAGCCCCCGCACCATCGGCCGGCTAGTTTTGTTGTATTTTTTAGTAGGCGGGTTTCAACCGTTTACCTGATATCTCGATCTCTGACCTCTGATCCCCGTCTGGCACTCCCAGTGCTGGGATTACGGGTTGACATCTCACCCGCCCGGCCTATCCCTGGCTTGTTAAAGAAGTTTGTTTTGTTGTTGTTTTTTTGTTTTACTTTTGAAAAAAATAGCAGGTGTTGGTGCTCAATGTCTAATCCCAGCACTTTGGGAGGCTGAGGCAGGCGGGAACACGTGAGGTCAGGGAGTTTTGAGGACCGCCGCTGACCAACATGGTGAACCCGTCTTATAATAATTACAAAAAAATTCGCTGGTGTGGTGGTATGCTGTAGTCCCAGGCTGCTCGGAGCTGAGCCAGATACTTGAACCAGAGAAAGTGAAGAAGAGTAAGATGGAAAGAGAGATGGAGGAGAATAGAAAACTAGAAGCCGCGCACTTTAGAGTGGGTTGAGAGACTCTTCTAAAAAGAAAGAAAAAGAAAAAAAAAAAAAAAGGAGAAAATGGACAAAGTCTCCAGGCTGGTCAACTCCTGGCTTCAAGTGATCTTCCCACCTCAGCCTCCCAAGCAGCCGGGACCACAGGCAAACACCACTGTGCCCGGCTGTCCCCAGCTTTCTAATCTGGTCTTTCTCCTGCCCCAGAACCTCAAGAAGGCATGAAGCCAGCCCCTGCAGTGCCGTCCACCAGCCCCGTGTCCGGGGCTGCCTGTGGCTCTGTTGCCCTCCTCTGTGGGGGCAGGACTTTGTGGGGCTTCGTGCCCTGTTCTGGGGCCCAAGCAATGCTGGTCCACATTCCCAGGCCCCAGCGGCCTCCAAAGATGGGTAAAGGAGCTTGCCCTCCCTGGGCCCCCCACCTTGGTGACTCACCCCACCACCCCTAGCCCTGTCCCTGCCACTCCTCCTGGTGGGGACCAGTGAATGACTTGACCTGTGACCTCAATACAATAAATGTGACCCCCCACCCAAACTTGCCCGTGTTTGTCTTGCTTTGCTGGGGTGTGGACCGGGGTGTGGACCGGGGTGTGGGCAGGGGTTGAGCGCAGGGGACGCTGCTGTCTGCAGATCCTGCCCAGGCCTCCTCCCCTGCCATGTGGGGCTCAGTCCTGAAGATACCAGATGGATGAACCCTGGACCACCTCCGTCTGAGCATCCATCCGGGCCCGTGTCCCACCCTCCCTGGGTCTCATCTGTGCTCTGTGGAGGCCAAGGGTTCCCTCCTGGGACCGAAGCCCCGGCCGCAGACAGACCCAGGCCCAGAGAACGACAGGGGCCTGGGTACCACCACACAGGATGCTCCCGCATGCTCCCCGCGCAGCTGTGCAGAGATGACCCAAGGCCTTAAGATTCTGAACTTTTATTTTCTGGCATGAAAAGTACAAATAATTAAACAATTCCATGTAAAAGTCTGTTACCGCGGCCAGGCCTGTGATCCCGGTAATAAATAGTCTAAACGCAACGCGAAATGTTCTTGTTGGGTTTTTTGTTTTTTTTTTTTTTTTTTTTTTTTTTTTTTTTTTTTTTTTTTTTTTTTTTTTACAGTTTTTTATCACCTCCAACATGGACTCTGTCGTGATTTGAAACCTTCCGAATAAATAACAGGATGAAGGGAGGGGTGGAGGGGCTGAGCCCCCTCCCCCCTGGCCTGGCCCCTGCCCCCCAGGGACGTGGAAGACCGGAGTCCCCCTCCCCTGGGAGCCCTGGCCTGGCCCCCTGTGGGGAGGTGCTGGCCTCCAGGGAGGGGGCCTGGCTGGGCTGAGTTTTGTGTTTTAGAAAAAGAAGTCCCCTCCCAGTCTTGGGGGCAGCAGGGGCCTAGGCCTCGGTGGGGGGGGTGTGTGGGGAGGTGCCCCCTCTCTGGAGCCTGGCCCCCCCCAGGGTGGGGGACAAACCCAGCCCTTATTGCTCGGACGCCCTGCTGCAAGCTTCCCACGCAGACATGCGTGTTCCCGAATGCAGAGGGCGGAGGGGAGAGAGCCCCAAGGGACAGCAGGGGAGAGGGGTCCCTGCCCTGCTGGAGGGGAGAGGGGAGAGGGCAGGGAGGACTTAAAACCACAAGAATAAATAGGTTTGTGTATCAAGAACAAGCTAGGGATTTCACCAGCTAAATAGGACTGAAAAAATTCTCAAGACAAGAGCAAAAAGAATCCCATGGATGACCTGGACGTCACTGGCCGTGGGGACTGCCCCGCAGAGCACACGCCCCCACGTGCCACTCGGCTACCATTACTGTTATTAATAATTATTATTACTTTAATGATTCCACTTCCCCTTTTATAAATAAATTAGGCATAACCATGTCTCGGCAAAACTTAAAGAAACAAAGAGAACATTGTCGTTCCTTTGACTTGCAAACCGGATGAAGTAACAGAAATATACACGGATGTCCTTACAGGGCAACGAGGAGAATAAATAGTTAACATAGCAATAAGTTAAAACTACAAGAAGCTAAATTCAGCAAAAAAGTACAAGAAAGTTAACTGGTGCCAGTTTATGTCTTTTTTTTTTTTTCCTTTTTTTTTTTTTAAATCTCTTCTGTGTGTTTTCTTTTTTTGTTGCTTTTTTTTTTCCTCTTCTGTTTGTGTTTTTTTGTCGCTTTTTTGATTTTTTTTCGTTTTTGTTCCTTGCAGCAGAAGCTCCACAGACGTTTAATAACAACACCGGGAGGGGTGGGGGAGAGAGAGCTGGACAGTCAGATGGGGGGCGCCATAGCCAGACACCAAACGTGGGGACACCGGGGGAAGGCAACTTAACTATAGCTATAAGTCGGGGTTTTGCAATTCTCAGTTCCGATGGGGCCACTGAGGCTGGTGGGGAGCGGTGCGAGGGCTCCCAGGGGCTCCGGCCTGTGGCTTCTGTTGGAATTTTCTTTTTTTTTTTTTTAAAGAAAGAAAACTAGGGCGATGCAATGTCCAGACAGAAGCCGGGGGCCGGGGCTCGAGATCGGGGGCTGTGTCCACTGCAATCTGGAAAGACGAAAAACCCAACAAACCGAAAGGGGGTAGGTAGGTGACAAGTGGACGGGAAAGGAGTGTGGGGCTGGGCCCTTGGGCCCGTCCACCCCACCCTGGGCCTGGCGGGGAGTGCCGGGGGGCTTGCTGCTGGGTAGGCCCAGTCCTGGTGGGGGAGGCTCAGGACTGGGCCTCTCCCTCAGCTGCGTGGGTCAAGGCCTCGGCCCAGGGGGAGGCTGAGCCCCGGGGACAGGGGTGTCCTTTGGCCTCAAGTGTTGTGGGGGGGGGCTGCCTCCAGCCCACCGTGCGCCAAGGTGGAACGAGGTATCGTGTGTCTCAATGCATGTGCGCTGCGTGTGCACGCCTGTGTTCATGGGCGCCAAGGAGACCACTGGGGGTCCAGGAGAGATCTCTGCAGAGAACCTGGGGGCCAGGGCAAGGGGGCCAAGAGGGTGAGGGAGCGGCTGGGGCGGGGTCTGGGGTGGGACCTCCTGCCTGGGCCTATGGGATGCTGTGGGCATATGTCTGCGTGTTCCTGGGTGGTGTCTGTGTTTCTCTGTGTTCTCTGTGACCTGGTGTCCAAATTTGATGTCCAAATATCTATCGCTACATTCACGTGTGCACGTGGACAGGTGGATGGATTCGTGTGCCCACATCTGTGGTCTGTGTCCACATGGACATAGCCCCAACTTCTGTCTCTTTCTGTTTATCCCTGTCCACGTGTCTGAGTTTGGCCAACCAGTCCCTTAACGTGTCTGGGGCATGTCGCTGTGTCTGTCTGCGTCTGTCCGTGCGTCCCCGTGGTGTGAGTGTCTGCGTGGTTATTTCTCTGTGTGGCCCCGTGGGCTGCCAGCCCCTAAGCCCTGCTCCCTGGACCCCTCCCCCCCACCCCTGCCCCAGTTGGTAAACATAGCCTGCCAAAATATTTTCTTTTTTTTTTTTGTCTTTTTTTGTGTTTTTTTTTCAAGTTCAAGAATCCCCAGTAAAAATTCTCCACGAGGTCTTTTTCCCTTTTTACAAAAATAGAGTTTTTCTTCCCCTCCCACCCCCCCTTTTTTTTTTCATTTGTTCCTGCTTCCAGCCCCACTGCCTGCTCCCCGCATTCCACCAGGGGGCACTGGGCTGGGGGTGCCCACACCCCTCCTCACGGTTCGCTTTTTTGGGGATTTTTAAACCTGTTCCTCCTACCCCAGGCCCCACCTAGGTGCTGGGGAGGCCTGGGCAAGGGGGTCTGGGAGGGCACCCCCTGGAGCCCCGCAAGCCATCCCATCGGGGGTGGTCGAGGGTGGGGGTGGGGGCACATCTCTGCATTCTTTTTAGCCGGAAAAAAGAAACAAAAACCTTCACCATGAACCAAACCAAGACGAGAGAGTGAACAGCCCAGCCTGGGGTGGGGGCAGGAGGATGGGGTGGGGGATCCCCGGGCACCCCCCCATTCCCTGCAGACCCTCCCACCCCGGAGTGCTCACCCTGTGGCTTCCGCAGGGACGTGGGGCCCTCGCGTCGTCCGTGGGGCTGCCTGTGCTGTCTCTCTTGGGCCCCTTCTCTCTCTCTCTCTCTCTTTCTCTCTCTCTGCTGCCCGGGGAGGGGGTGGGAGGGCAGGCGGGGCGGGCTCACGCCTTGTGCTGTTTGCTGGTCTTGAAGGAGACCTGCAGCACGCGCTCGCCCAGGCGATAGCCGTTCAGGCTGGCGATGGCCATGGCCGCCTCGTCATAGTTGGTCATGGTCACGAAGCCGAACCCCTTGCATTTGTTGGTGGTGAAATCGCGGATGACCTTCACGTTGGTGACCGCCCCAAAGGGCCCGAACAGCTGCCACAGCACGCTCTCGTCCGCCTCCGGTGACAGGTTGTACACGAAGATGCACCAGCCAGCGCCTGCCGCGCCCCCCGACAGGCCCACGCCCGCCAGGCCGCTCATACCGTCGATGGCGATCGGCGAGAACCTGGCGATGAGCGACAGGGGACTACTTTGGGGGTCACGCGGGCTCTGCCCTGACCCCCCGCATGCTTCCGACCCCATTGTGACCCCTCACGCCTTTATGACCCCTGACTGCGCCGTGACCTTGGAACTGTGACCCCTGAATGCAATTGTTTTTTTTTTTAAGAGACAAGGTCTGGCTCTGTCACCCAGGCTGGAGTGCAGTGGTGCAATCATGGCTCACTGCAGCTTTGACCTCCTGGGCTCAAGCAATCCTCCCGCCTCAGACTCCTGAGTAGCTGGGACTACAGGCAGGCACCCTCACACCCAGCTAATTTTTTTATGATTTGTAGCGACACAGCCTCACTATGTTGCTTAGGCTGGTCTTGAACCCTCAGGCTCAAGCAATCCTCCTGCCTTGGCCTCCCGAGTAGCTGGGACTACAGGTGCACCACCATGCCCCACTATATATATATATATACACACACACACACACACATATATACACACATATATACACACACACACACACACACATATATATATATTTTTTTCCCCCGAGACGGAGTGTTGCTTTGTCACCCAGGCTGGAGTGCAGTGGTGCAATCTTGGCTCACTACAACTTCTACCTCCTGGGTTCAAGCGGTTCTCCTGCCTCAGCCTCCCTAGTAGCACGCGCCACCATGCCCAGCTAATTTTATATTTTTAGTAGAGACGAGGTTTCTCCATGTTGATCAGGCTGGTCTCGAACTCCCGACCTCAGGTGATCTGCCCGCCTCGGCCTCCCAAAGTGCTGGGATTACAGGCGTGAGCCACCGCGCCCGGCCATGCCCCGCTAACCTTTAAAATTTTTTGTAGAGGTGGGGTCTCGCTGCGTTAGCCAGGCTTGTCTTGAACTCCTGGGCTCAAGCAATCCTACTGCCTTGGAGTTCCAAAGTGCTGAGATTACAGGTGTGAGCCACTGCACCTGGCTTTCCTTTTCAAATCATGTATTTATTATCATCAACTCCATCTTCCCTGCAAGAGTTTGTTCCAGCCCCTGAACAACACCCAGTAAGCACTTGGGAGGTGTCTGTTGAATGAATTCATGAAAGGACAGAATT